GTAAGGGGGGACGTGATGACCGTGGGGGGAAGGACACAAAAGGTCCTACCCAGGAATTGGGTTCTTGAAGGACAGGGATTCGGCTGGAAAAACGGGAGGCGAAAGCCAAAGAGTGGGGCTCCTGGCATGGAGATGGTGGAGGGATTGTGAGTCCTGATAATGACACGGTCTAGAGCAGAGCCAGGAGCTGTGCGGCGTAGAGAAAGCAGGGGGGTAGGCTCACGAGAGGAGGTGATGTCATGGGACTCAGAGCAGAGTGTGGAAGCGTCATCTGCGTGGTATGAAAATGGTCAGTGGTCAGGACAGGATTGGGGTTGAAGAGAGTGACAGTGACCTGTGATCTAATAGTCACAGCGGAGCGAGGGGCGCGTGACCTGGGGCTGTAGTGACCCCAACAATGAAGAGAAGAGGTTGAGTAGTCTGGCGACATGAGAGTCAGGAGTGGGTGTTTTGGGAGGAGGAAGAATGACCTGGAAGTGGCCACCAAGAGCCAGGCAGAGACTCAGGCCACCTGGGTGGAACGGGATGCCTGCCGGGGCAGCAGTGTCCTGGGGTTGCCATTGGAAACGATGTTGTTGACAGAGGGAATTGGAGGCTTAAAGGGGACAATGCGCATACAGTGTTCAGGACTGCGGTTTCTGTCAGTGGTGTTCAATTCCTGTCAGTGAGTTCCCCCAAGTGACTTAAATCTGTTTTCCTTTATGGTGAGGTGTTAGCAAGTTTTCCAATTTTCACAGAAGTTTCTGATCATCTAAAATGGTCCTTTGTAGGACATAAAGCTTAATTTCAAATAATGTAAAACCAAGCAGACACTGTTGGACTACAGAGGAAGGAAGTCTGATAGAAAGGAATATTTATGAAGTGCCCACAGAGGCCAACCACGGCACTATGTATTTGTCTCAGCTGGATGCATTAACTCATTTTGCTCCTGCATGTGTGTGTGCGTGTGAGTGTGTGTGTGTGTGTGTGTGTGTGTGTGTGTGTAACACTTGCTAAATGCTAGGGATTCAATAATAAATGTAGAGATTCTGCCTTAGAGGAACTAATGGTTAAATGAGAGAAACAGCTAAGCAAACAGAAATTAAAGCGCAGTGTGACCTATGTTGATAATGAATAACTATTGGATATTTACTGCACACCAGGGGCCGTGTGAAGGTATCTTATATTCGCTCCTTTAACCTCAGCTATCGTCTCAGACGTCACATGGACCCTTTCAGAGTAACGCTGTGTTACACGCCACGTCAAGCCTCGGGGGCTCAGGACGACGCGTTGACTTTTCCTGCGTGTTTTCTTTCCGGTTTCAGGTTGGTGCCGGCCGGGCATGGCAACAGCCCAGGTGTGTGAGTGGGTGCGGGTCATGCCCCCGTCCCAGCAGCCCCTGGGTGGCACGTCCTGGCGACAGGTTGGGAGTGAAAGCTGGCAAGCCTCTGCACATTTCAAGCCTCAACTCGGTCCAGTCCCTTGTCATTGCAGGGGTCAGTGTGCCGCACGGCCACACCCAGCATCCACGGCTGCTCTGAGGGGAGGTACCACTGAGTCACAGGGCAGAGGGCCAGGGTGCGTGGAGAGAGTGAGGAAGTGAGAACAATGAGTCTGGAAACCACCTGCCCAGGGTTCGAAAGCTGGGCACTTTAACCTCCACCTTAGCCGCAGTCCTTGGCTGCTTCCAGTGTTGTGCACAGAGCGCTTTGGGCGCACACCGGAGAGGTGGGTGGCTCCCCAGCTGAGCGGGTGGAAGAGGTTCCAGGAAGACTCTTAGGGCAGGTAGGACCTGGGGCTGACCTCAGTAGTCTTGGCCAGACTGAGTTTCTATTTGGTTTAGCAGCAAAGAGGCCACTGGTACAGGTGGGACTAGTTTCACTGGAGACTGAGAGCAGAAGGCAGATGGTGGTAGCTGAAGGGGTACATACGAGGTGAAGGAAGAGAAACAACTTCTAGAAGCTTGGTCAATACGGGTAGGAAAAATACGGCAGTAGGATTGGAAATAGGATAGAGCATAGCATTTATTTTTCCTCAAAGACCTGAGTGCTTGCTGCTAACCTAAAAGTTAGCAGAAAGGCCCGCTTCTTGGATGTGGAAATGGCCTCTAAAATATCCATCATGCCCTGGCTGGGTTGCTCAGTGGGTTAGTGTATTGTCCCCATAGGCCAAGATTATGGGTTTGATCCCTGGTCAGGACACATACAAGAGTCAACCAATGAATGCATGAATAAGTGGGACAACAAATTGATGCATCTCTCTCCCTTCCTCTCTCTCTCTAAAAATATAAAAATAAAACATCCATCACATCCTTATCCCTTGATACAGGATGGACTCCACTGGACTGTGGGGGGCAAGGAAGAGAGAAGAGTTGATTATGACCCAAGAAGAGGGAGAGGGGACAATTCCGTGACCGTGTGTGCCATTGCAGACCATCGTGGCCTGGCTCACTGTCTGTCCTAGAGCTTGCAGAACCGAATCGATACCTTATTTAATGGGTGTTTAGGGAGTGAGGTACCATGTTCATCACAAACAGGTCTGAAGAGACTTTGGGGGTACCAATGGATTTAAATGTGTTCATAAACCTTGCTCCTACCTTGAATACACGAAGAGTCTGTGGGAGCCTCAGCCGTGGCGCTGGTGTGTTAGGAAATTATAACCTGCAGAGGTGGTTGACGCCAACAAGCACGGGAAGCTTTTGTGTGCTAGAGTTTTCTTTTACCCTTTTGTTCTCTTACCCTTGAAAATAATGCCTGTGACTCTAGTTACCACCAAAGTAAGCCAATCAGAAGCTGATTGATATTCCAAAAAAGGGATCACGGAGCTCCTGTTTTTAAGCATTTGTGTGCATAGTGTTGCAGGGTTAGATTTTCCCCACAAGTACAGATGCTCAAGGTGGAGACCAGATGGCCTCAACCTTCAACTTGGCTTGTTAGCACTGCCATGGATGACAGCCCAGTTATTTTTTCATAAATCCATG